ATTTATTTAGAACTATTTAAATAAAATATTTATTAAAATTTAATATTTTGTTTCTAGTGTATATATTATACGTATAATATTAACATATATATTATTATATAATAAATATATATGATTTGTGTATATATATAATATATGCGCATACATTTTTCGTAGATCGTTAAGGGTGGTCAAGGAAGCTGGGGAAAAATCGATGTATGCTACCCCTTCGCGTGCACGCCAGCTACCAACATATATTATACACGCGAGGAATTAGAGCCGGACACTGAAATTATCCCTGTCGCCTATCGTCCGCGATATCCTCGCTACGACCGGGTCGCTCCCACGACTGGGGAAGACACGATGCGAAGCGCGAGAACTTCTAACAAAGCCATCGTCGAAAAAAGGGAAAAAAACAAAACCATTCGTGGTCCGCTATTTCGAAGATATAACGTAGTCGCACATATAAATACGATAATTGTATATAATTATTCGTTACGTCTCTTTGTAGATTGTCCCAGACGAATTGGATCTCGGAGTTATTGCTGTATTGGGGCATCGTGTCGAGCATCTTTTGCTGAGCAATCGACGCAACCTGTTCTCTCATCACATATCCCATCATGCCGCCTATAATCTCCAGCAAGAAAATTGCAGTCAGAAGCGTGCAAAACTGTAAATGATCAAAGAGACTATTGTTAAAAGAATTCAAATTATATTTCGACGATTATCTTCCGTACACTGAGAAAAATGTTTGTTAGATTAACTGCAAGTGAAAATGAAAGTAAAGTTTTTTCTAGTAAAAAAAAGAGATAAATCATAATTTTTTTGTTAAATCTACTAAAATTGATACATATTCAGATTCTTCTGGTTCGTCTATTTTCAACCAGACATTTTTCTCACTGTATATAATTGTTACGGATATACCGGCAGAAATCAATTTTGGTATCAGATATTGACTGGAAAATATATATCCTGATATATTTTTTAAAATATATCTAGAAAATGGTAGAATTGAATCTCGAAGCTTTTGAAATATTTATTATATAGTCTCACCGTGCGTCAATTTTTTAAAGCAACACCGGAAGCGTGTCCGCCCTCGTCTGCGTGCGAGGGAGAGTAATTTTCCCGGAATAAGGGCCGACGGAGGTGGAACGGGGAGGACACACACATGTCAATTACATACTTCGTGCACAAAACATATGATCCATTACGTTATGGAAACGAGGGGGAGACGATATCGTGGACAGACTTGGCCGAGCTTTTTGTTTCGTATGCAATAGATCGGTCGAAAACCCGACGCTCTATATCGAGATCCTAATCTCGAATTAATTCGAATAGAGCAACGTTGAAAATAACATCGTGAATGTTCTCGAGTCACGATAATGGTCCGCTTTATTACTCGCAGTACGTCGCGATTGATCTTCGTCGGTGGCGCGCTCTCAATCGGAAGCGCAATCACCTGGCGAGCTTCGCCAGGTACGGTCGATCGAATGAGACGTAAATCATTTACGATTGTGAAACAGATGGTTCCTCACGATTGTAAAAGGCGTATATGTAGGAAAGACAAGGCGCAATGCGTCTAATCTGCGATAGATTCTCAAACAGCCAAGTCTGTCGAAAATAGATTCTGCAAAATTCATGACAAAAATAAGAAGCTACTCGGAAAGAATGATTTTGTTGAAATTTTGATGACTACAGACTTGAAAATAATTTTATTGGATCATCAAAATAATTATATATATGTAGGAAACTCTCAAGTATATCAAGCAATGCTGCAAGAAGTTTTGACATTCTGACAATCAGCTTGAACCTACATAATTATTTTAATAGTCCATCCAATAAAATTTTCAAATCTATCTCTAACTTTTTAGATGTAGATCCAGCAAACACGAATATTCTCATAAAACATAACAGATTAATAACAGAAATTCAATAATTTGTCATACTTGTACAATTTGACGCAGATTAGTGACATATTAGAAGCAGCAGATCTGACAGATTCTATTTGGTTTCTGTCAATCAACTGTTAGATTATATCTACAGGCTTTATCGGTAAAACACAAGCTTGCAAACAGAGTTAAGTAATGCCAATTTGCTAACAATTTCACGAATTTACTTCCAGTTTGCCGGTATAGATAGTTTGATTATTGGATAGCTTATTATCATTATTACTATTGATTTGAGCCAGTTAATTATTATTTGCTAATTAAACGTCAAAATACTATAACTCTGTCGCAGTAATAAACGGTCTAATAGTATAATATATGACGCAATGATGAAACATCTTTATTGAAAAAAATTCTGAAATATGTATATATGTGATTTTTAAATTTCATACAGCAATTAATTAATAAGTTAATAAGAGTGTAATTTAATGCGTGGATAAAAAGTGAATCATTTACTTATTTATCAAGAAAAAGCTTAATCGAAGTGTGTATATTTAATAAGAAAAAAATATAGTTTAATTCATGAGAGAGAGAGAGAGTACATATTTGTCTTACCGTTATAATCATGCAATAACTTTCGCGAACAGCTCCGCAGCATCCGAAAAAAGCGATGATAAAAATGATGAAGCCCACGGCTACGAGAAGAGAAGGTACGGAGAAGAACCTGTTGTCAAGGAAATGTTGATACTGATGATATACTCCATGGATGACCGCTCCGATGGATAGCAACACTATTCCTGTTATCTAAACATAATTCATTGATTCATGATATATTTCCATGGATAAAAGGATCGAAAATGCAATTCGCAATGGAGTCGATCTTGTTAAAAAAATCGACAATTACATAATGATTTCGTGATGATAAACAATATTACGTAATTATCTAATTAATGTGGTATATAATTAGCTAATGTATTTGAAAAAAATACGCAAGTTTATTTTTTTGATGACATCAACATTTTCGAGTTTCACACATCCACGTACAGTATATCATACAAATAACTGCGAGTTGCCAACAGCTGCGGTGTCCGAGCGGTTAAGGAGATGGACTTGAAATCCATTGGGTTCTACCCGCACAGGTTCGAATCCTGTCCGCAGCGAATTTTTTTTTTTCTCGATCTTAAATAATATCAGCATCTAATCATTTATACGTAGATACACTCATACACTTCAATGTAAAAACGTAAAAATGATAACATATTTTAATTAATTATATTAACAATACTAGCAATTTAATTATTCTATATTAATAATTCTACAATACTTTCGTGTGAAATTACATAATCAATAAAATCAACAATTGTGCGAAAACTATAATCATGAAAAAATATTAATTCAAATAAAACTTAATAAAAAATTAATACGCATGCGGCGTAAGAACGCTAATAATGAGTCTATTTATAAAAACGATAACGCAGCGTGCATTTCGATTATTCTGAATAAAAACATTGAACTGTGTATCTTATTCAAACTATGGTTTCTACGCATATGTATAAACGATATATTTCCAGATACGAACTTACTGTTAATAATAAAATTATTTTAATCGTGATGCTTACTACTTAATATATTAAACATGAACGGTTTGATTAATTTATAAGTTAGTAGATTAAAATTAAAAAATTTTTTAATTCTTGCCTCATTCTATAGCATATAAAATTAATATTATAGTGCAATCGCTCTCATCCGTATCGATCGCACCAAAGGTAGTTTTTCAATTTTGATGTCGCTGTATGTGAAAAAAAATAGAGAAGATGAACATTGCGCGGTAGGAATTCCCCTTCGGGAATATTTCTTAGGTTTGTCGAAATTTTATGATTTTGCTCACAATGATTCATCTACTCGTAGTTTTCTCCGATGTACATGCTAGTCCAATTGATGAATAATTAACCAATGAACGTCTAATTAATTTAATTTTACATTAAGCTTTCAACACACACGCGTACTGTTAAATGGAATCTATATTTAGACACAAAAAATCATATATACAAGATGTCCTTTGTTTTCATCAAGAATTTGCGATTAAAGATTTAATTTTAGTGAGTCGATATAAAAAATATCATTAATACATAATATAAAATCATTACCATATATATAACATAATATATTAATGATTATATTGTATTAAATAATGAAAGGAAAATTTTATGACAATTGCGCTGTTATTGACATTAACTGCGATCCTATATACTGAAATATATATATACTGAAAATTTATAATATATACAGGGTGTCCCACGTAATTGTGATCACGACTTTTCCGGCATTTCCGATGATCTGACAAAAATTAGTTTGGATAAAAGTTAATCAGTTTTCAATTGGCTACAAATTGCGATATTAAAAATTTGAAAAATACTCTTTTTTAGGAAAAAAGTCAAGGTCACCCTAATTTTTTTAAATGGCACTACATATTTTTTACTTCATAATATTGTAACCGATGTCAAGATGAGTTCAATGACTTGCTACTATAATCTTGAAATGACCTTACAATCAGACGTGAAGAACAAACGTAGCGATATTCCTGAATGCAGTTTACACGTGTATGTAGTATGTACGTAGAAAAAATATCAACTTGTAGTATAGCGTAGCTCGAACGCTTCAACAGTTCTTGTGTTCAATCTTAGTTTGTTGTTAGAGCAAATCATAGTTCAGTCTCAGTTTCTCGAAAATGTATTCCTATAATGAGAAATTGATATGCTGTTAATATTCGGTGAATGTAAAAGGAATGCACGTGAAGCTGCAATTCTGTATGTCACAAGGTACCTTGACTTTTTTCTTAAAAAAGAGTATTTTGCAAATTGTTAATATTGCAATTTGTAGCCGATTGGAAACTGATTAACTTTTATCCAAATTAATTTTTGTCAGATCATCGGAAATGCCGAAAAAATCATGATCACAGTTACGTGGGACACCCCGTATAATGTGAACTATAGATTTTCAGTGTATTGGCAGTGTATATCAGAATACAGCTATTGTTACATTGTTTGTAAATTGATACACATTCCTAAATCTCAATTACATCGAATTTCCACAAAAACCGATTACTTAATGTATTCTTTAAACGCGTTCTATGACCATATCACAACGTTCTTCAGTAATCACATTGTAAATGTTGCCTTTCCACTTAGATTACATTCGAGACTTGATTTCCTGAGAATTTCAATTGACAATATTTATCTACCAAATATTAAGTTCAAATATCTATTCAAGATAACTCAACAATCGCGTGACGCGCAAAATGTTAAAAGTTGACACAAAAAGTTGAATAAAAATATATGTATACTCCACGCGTTCACTGTACTCCATATTTGTAATGACATTCGAATTAAATTCCACGTTTCAATTTCACGTTTCTGCTATTTCAATAAACATTTGCGGAAAATGTGATTTGAAAACGCGTTACGCATCATTCCAAACTGGATTCTGCTGAACCATGTGAACAATGTGCACATTTCAATGTAATTATTGAATTTTGACGTCCACGAACTGCTTATAGAAACGAACATTAAATAATTAACTAAAATAATTATACGATCAAATAATTAGTTAATTAAATTAATTAAAACATTTTATTGCAAACATGAGTTTATTGAAAGTCACGAATTTTAGATAAAATCAAATAGAGTTAAAATTTAACTAAATTAATTTTTGACTGAAATTCGACTTTGTCCCTTTTTATATTCTTAAAAAAAAAATAGATAAGAAGCTTTTAGTTAACTTTCTACTGTAACTATTTCAATTCCCTTTCAATTAGCACGCGTGATAAAAATCAAACTTCGATGAAATATTTAATATTCACTTTACAGCTTTACAAATGCATTTTTGTATAAGTTATGCTTTTATCAGACTTTAGTTAGGCTCCAGATAAACTGCAGCCTGTCGATCGTAATCGCAGCTTCCAACGATCGCGCTGAGGCTGCGTCGATACGACGATTCGATAGATCGCAGCGCAATCAATCGCGCGGGGTCCAACTCATCGTTCCAGAAGGAACGCGAGACAGCTGATCGTCGACCATCTACTTACCACAAAGAACAGGTTGAAAATGAACATCAAGTACTTGATAGTCTTCGGCGCCAGACTCAACTTCATCATCGCCATTGCCGCAGAACTGTCGGTTATGATTTACAAATATGTGATTACGCGCACACACTTCTTTCTCTCTCTCTCTCTCTCTCTCTCTCTCACTCTCTCACACAGAATTCTTTCACACGAACAGACGATCTGCTATCAAGGACAAGTCGCGAGTGATACTGCGCGTCTTGAGAGCAACGAAAAAAGGCTGCGAAAAAAGGTTTCCTCGTCGCGTTCCGATGGGTGGCGCCGTGCATATGCGAGAACGGGATACACGAATGCGATAGATACCACACACTTACGACTACTACTATTCGGTTGCATTCTTGTATCCGTGTGTACTGCGTGTTATGTGCACGCGCTCGCGTGTGTGAATTGGTGCGACACGGAGACCGGTCGAAATCTCGCTTCAATGGCAGCAATTCGTTCCGATATACGTCGATGGTGGCCAGGTGTTGGTGCGGCACACGTACACCTGTCGCCGATTCGTGCACGATCGAGGTTACGAAACTCGAGAGATTTCTCGACCAAAGATACAGGGCGTTTCGCAACGGGTTCATATACACGCCTATAAACGCTCGTCGAAAAGAATTTCTTCTTAAAGAGACTGAGGACCGATTAAAAAAAAAAAAGATATTTTAACGAATTGCGTCGAACTTGAAATCTGCATTGACGCAATAAGAATAGACGGCATTCCTATGAAATTGATATTATCGGTTTAGATAGAGTGAGGTAACTAGAATGATGAATCATGTCGCGTTCTCTCTCTCTCTCTCTCTCTCTCCCTCAAGTTAAAGAGAGACGCTGATATGATATTCAATATTCAATTTTTTTCTAATGGAGCACAAATACTTGGGATTAAGGAATGCGCAGTCTATAGTTATTTACGTCTGTAAGAAACGCAATAGATGAGGAAATCTAATAGCAAATTTGATTGGACGCACTCAGTACGTGTACTTAGTGCGTGTACATTAAAGTCGTACACAAATTGAAAGAGATATAAAAATGTGTGTTTAAATATAAACGGTGTTTAAATTAAACCGCAAAATCCTCAAGTCAGGTAGAACATAAAAGATCAAAATGACGTCGTGTTATAGAAATCGTTTCAGAAAAAAAATCATTATTTTTAACATCACTTAAATATCATTGTTATGTCAAGAATTCGTCACAAAATTATCATTAAAAGTGTATAAAAATAATCATCATTGCCTATAAAATAATTTGATGTTATCTTGATCTTATTATAATTTTGTGTTCTATTTAGAAATGCATTTTGTTATATAGAATATTATAATTCGAAATATTTGAATTTTACTTTTACACTCAGATTAAATCAATGCATAACGACTTCAATACGCACTATATCGAAAGAAAAGATTGATTGAATATGACATAGCATTTTTAATTGGCTGCTCCAACCAAAAATTGGCTGCGGCAGCCCCAATTAAAAATGCTATGCCACATTTTACCATCTAAATTGCTGCAGCAGCCAATCTTTTCTTATAATAGTGTGCGCCTAATCGAATTTTCTATAACTTTTTCGATTAATTTATTCAGGTAAACTTTCAATAATGTTTGCACTTTAAAGAATCAAAAAACAGGGAAAAAAAACGTCCCATTAAATTTCGGTCAGACGAAAATTCCATTTCAATTTTTAACAAGTAACATATTACTCTGTATGTCATACGATGAAAGATGAATAAGATACAATGCATTGTACACCATTACGATCGAAATATTAGATTACAACGCACTGTTTTTATATTTCACCTTAGTCAATTGCGTTTATTTCTATAAAATTCATAACATGTTTACCACTCTGAACCTCGATTGTTCCCGATAAATCTTTGTGAAGAGTAATAACCGTGATTTGTTTCCATGTTTGTTTGAGTGCGCGTGATGTTTTTCCGAGACGCGAAACTCGAGACGGAAATCTGCGGAAACTTGATAAAATGCATCATCACGATACCTCGACGACCTAGCTGTCCGTACGCGGCTGGGTCCGGCCACGTTAGTTATAGACAGTAATTGAGACTATTGAAGCGTAGAATATGGAGCAGATCCTCTAACGTAGCTAATATAACATTCAATAACCGAGTGCTCAAGGGTAACACTTGACACATATCTCACCGCGCGTCCCCGTACGCGAGTTTTATTACCCGTCGCATGATCGGTTAATGATGCCGCGATCAATCTGTGACACAAATATCCGTTTATATCGTCTGGCGAGCTGCCCTTCCATAACAAAGCGGAACAAAATCGGGCTAGATATATGCGTACGAGTTTGTATCTTGTCCCAGGAAGCGTATTGTTTCGTTCTAGAAGCTAAAATCGAACAAATGCTGTTCAAACGTCGACGATTGTTTGGTCTAGTACGAAGATAATGAACGAGTTATTTTTATCTTTACTTGTTATTCATGTTATCCATGTTGGCGAGATATAATTCATGTTTTGACTACATTAATTTTGACGTGGTTTCCTTTTCTTTTGCTTTCAACATCATTATGTTAGAAATATAATTATTATATATATATATATGATTTTATTGCATGGATTCAAACTTGGTCATATTGGAACCAAACAATCTGTATTGTCGAAACGTAGCGCAATGGAAATATTTTTCAATTATGTATATAAATATATATAAAATGATGCGACATTGAAATTAGAATAATAATTGTAGTAAGAATACGAGGTAATTAACATTTAAAAAACGAGATTATGAAAAAAGAAAATAAAATTTGCTGTAACTTTATATTGGACACTCAAGTTGATTACTGAAATATCAAGACCTTTGCAATACTATCATGCTTGAACGTCCTACATAATTATTTTGGTGGTCCAACAGTTATTTTCAGATCTGTATCTGACCTAATTTTTACGTACTTCAGCAAAACCGTTGTTTCCGTGTTCAAAATTTGCCTTTCGCGTCGAATGCGAAATACAGTGATGTTGACGGCAAAATACATGACCTCATATTCTTACTATATAATTTTTCGAATTCCAACGTCGCGTCGTGTTATATTAGATGCTGAAGTGTTTTCGTCGCGCCACATTTCAACACGAATTGTTTGGGTTCCAACGTGGCCAAGTTTAGATTCAAATAACAAAATCATATATTATTACATGCTATATATATTCTATATATATATATATATATATATTCCTAACATAATAATATCATAAGCGAAGAAAAGAAAATTTCTTCCAAATTGTACTTAGTACGCTGCTGTAATGCTTCATCAGATTTGGCCTGCCGGCAGAAACTATACAATTTTGATTTCTTTTGCGTGAATTAATTATGTGTAGAGCTCTTGAGATCTTCGGGCGAAAGGCGGAGAAGCAATTCGCGACTCGTGATTGGATTGCTCCTCCAATTCTCTTACGTCCGAAGGGTCGTCTTGTCTATGGCGTGTCGCGGAGCGTTTCGACGAGGCCGTGTCCCTGAGGTAGACCCCGAGCACGCATGCTCCGGCCCCGCGCATTTTATATTCGTATATATTTAGCTACTGGCCGAGGGTTGTGTACGGCCTGACGTGGCCGACATCGCGGAAAACTCTCCCCGACGACGCGACGTAGCGTGCCGTGTGCGCCCGATGCGCGCGGTCGCACGCGGTTCACGCAAGAATTTAACGGGTAATTCACTCATGGACGATCGCGAAAGCGAAATTCGCAGGGACGACTGATTTCGCATCCAATTTACGCTACTTGCTAAACTAGCTACGCTATTATTGCATCTCGCTGCATTAAAGAACGCACGATTCATCCATCGCGGTCACGCTGCTTTCATTTTGCCACTCATCTATCCTGTTAAGAACGTCCCGCTTAAAAAGCGAACGACTGACTGCTGATTTCATTATCGCACTTTTTTCCCTCCTCGATCAGCTGCATGGAACAATTTTATTCGAAGGAAAAAGAAATATTAGCGAGGAACATAATTATTACGACTGTGTATAATTATTATGGCTCTATATATAATTCTATTTTTATATTATATAAATATAATTTATATATACATATATAGCTACACAAAAAGAACGGTTTTGTTAAAACGTCTAAAAATTTGCCTACACTGGAAAAAAATTTACTGAGTTTTATTAAATATTTGTTTGAATAGTATACTAACGAAATATTTATTTACAGCAAATGAACATTTATTTAAATTATATATAAAGTAAGTAAATATATATTATATATTTACATTTAATTTAGTAAATATTGTATTAGTACCGTTCAAGCAAGTATTTAATAAAATTCAGTAAATTTTATTTCAGTGTAGCTACAGATCTGAAAATAATTTTTTGTTGCATTATTAAATGTATGGAACATATAAATATTGATGACAAGAAATTTTAACTCTAATCGTTTAAGCGTTCTACATAATCATTGATGGTCCAGATAAAATTATTTTCGGATCTGTCTGTTAAATTATTTATCTATCTAAATAAATCTACAGAGACTTCAACAAAACCGTTTTTTTTTTTCGTGTATGCATATAATCGTATAAGATGCTACAATTAAATACTAGTATGTATTTTTATACGCGTGTAAAGTGTCCCTGATGTGACAAGCAAAGTCTATCAAGCATTTAATATAAACATTACACATTCTACGTATATACACAGGCATTGTTATATTTAGAAAATCGATAAACACATTTAGGGTAAATGTCAATACTAATTTGCTCCTCGTTGGGGCTGATATAGAAGCATTTCAATACAAATATAATATATCCAGTGCGAATTATTAAGTGAGAAGAAAATCGTATTGCTCTGTCTAGCTTTGCTTCTTAAATATTCCATTTGTCACACGTCAGATATTCGATACATATCTCTCTTCTCTTCGCAGCGCGCAAAAAACCTATCTCAGGTGTCGTTAATATGCTGCTGAGAGAATCGCGGGAGGAGAACTGCGTGGACGGAATTGCAACGTAATCTCGCAGATGAGAGAGAGATGAGATCTGTTAGGCCAGAACAACCTTCTCTGCACATTATACTCTCCTCGCCAGAGTCGTAGACCTGAAGAAACCCGAGTGTATGACGAGTGTATTAATAGACGCCAACAGAGAGAACAGTATTGAAGCATATCAACATCATAATTCATGGCGTAGGCGTCATGAGAGTCTCCGTTCGTTGCACCACGTCTTTTCGTGCTAACGCGCTCGGAGGCGATTTCGACCAAACAACGTCGAATGGAACAAGCTGCTTCGACCTGAACTTCGACTCACTCTGTCGTGAGTGAGGCGGTCACTCACGAAAGCTATCTATAGGTCTGTTCTTTGTGGTCGAACTGCTGTATATAAGTTGTAAAATAAAAAATTAAAATGAAATAGATAGGTATTAAAAGTTTGTCGAAAGCGAGATAGATAGTTCTAACGTAGTTCAGAGCAGAAATAAAGAACAGGGACCGCATTCTTGGAAAATATCGTGTACAAAAGCACACGAAAATAGTATACATTACATATATTACAGATTTCCTCAATATTTCGCGTGCGAGAATAAGACTTTTTGTTAAAGATAGAGTATACATAATTTTTGTGGATATAGTAAAAATTACGGTGTTGTTCGAAATTAATATGACGAGATGACAGTCGGGAAGTTGATGAAAGTAAAATAGCTACTTTTTTGTAATGAGTGAACAGAATGAAATTAATTAAATACTGTTCTCTCTCTCTCTCTCTCTCTCTCTCTCTCTCTCTCTTTCTCTCTCTCTCTGTTCAAAAGAGATCCATCACTTTTAGCATATAATACGAAAAGAATGTATGAACTTAAAAATAAATATTATGAAAAAGGAGTCAATTCGTTTGATTAATTCAGTGACATACATTTTCGAAGTAATTAATGGTCATCATTTGCACAATAATCGACTTTCGCTTTTAAAAACTATGTAATACATTTTTATGACTTTATATGAGGCACTCTATGTATAAATGATTCAATTAGTCATTTTAATTTATACACTCTGCAAGTTTGGAATTTTGCGGACGCTTTCCATCTTTATTTTCAACTCTACTATTCTGGTAAATTCGGTCACATATATTACACTAGATTAGTGCATTAAAAGCTGTTGTACATGAAATTATCAAAGTTACAATTACAAAGTTAAATGCAAAAACGATAAATATTTTTAAATATTTAATGCACCTTTGTGTAATTTAACAGAATATACTGCATATATTATTTCATCAAATTTAATTATATTATCACTGTATTTAAATATTTTAAAACAGTTTTTAATGTGTATTAATCCAGTGTAGTGAGAATGACTGAAATTCATCATATGACACACACACAACAGTTCAGACTTTTTTATTAATAGTCGATGTAATATAATAGACGCGTTCCAAAATACCGACAGTACTAAAAGTATTGAAAATCTATACGTGATGTGCGCATGCTGTAGATTTTTACTGTCGGAACATTTCAAGACACACCTAATATTGTCATCGGATTACCATATCCAATTGATTGACGCAAAAGTCGGAAATCGACCGCGTCGTAGGAAATACTGACAGTACTGAACATTGCATTCAAGAATATATTCAATTAAGAAACACATAAAACAACCAAAAATCAAAATGACATTATTTCGATTTTTGACATCAATAAACAGTCAAATTTTGTAACCAAAAAAATCATTATTTTTATTTTCACGATATCAAAATAGTCATTCTGATTTTCTCTTTACTTGATACATGTTTCTTGAGTATATGAGTACCAAAATCTATCTATAGTTTACGTCGCATGCTACAGACTTTTAACAGCTTTTAGTACTGTCGGGACATTTCAGGACACACCCAATTGTCGGATCATCGTAATCGATCAACGAGAAGTCGGAAAAGTTTGTGTGTGGTGCCAAAAAAAAAAAAAAAAGATACGGAGTCATTGTAACAGGGAAAGACTCGAGTTTCAATTGCACGTAAATCTCGTCGTTCGTGATCGGACTTCTCGTTAGTTCTCCATCCTCGGGAATCAAAGATAGATAAGGATGCGTACGCATTAATACGCAGTTGAATCGTCGATCACGGCTAGGCTCGCCATGACACCACCGCCACCCGAAGTGCAACGCCAAGTCGCGTCGCCTTGCGTTGGGTTCCGTTGCGTTGCATTGTGTTGCGTTACGTTGGACGGAGGTGCACCACGATACAGGATCGTACCATCACGTAGCATTCGGGCGGTCATCGATCATCGACGAGCGGATGTGACGACAGTCATGCTACGAGAAATGAATAATAATCACGAGAAACGGAAAAGTTTTCCTGCTGCGCGTTATGTGAGCAGTATAAGGCGAAGAAATTGAAATGGAGCAAAATACGCCCACAGATTATATCACAAGTCGCTGCAGCATTTATTAAGTAACATTATTTACAGCAATAAACTCTGCGAGCGTAAGCTCCGTGCGTGGCTTTGTCTTGTTAAAATCTTGAAGTTTCAATTCAGCGATCGTCGTTAATAAAGCTCGCGTCGCTCCCCGTTCCGCTAGAATTAGTTTTAACAAAGCAGGTACAGAAAGAAACATGCGACGTGTATGCACGCATATATTACACGATGTCCTTAGAAAGTAATAGATAACGCTAAAGTTTTTTACAGTCAAATCTTTTCTAATAAAATCCTTAAAATTATAAAGATTTTAGTTACTTCCTAATACCTTTTTCGTCTTGGGGGAAAAAAAAAAGAAAAAAAAAAAGAAAAGCCTCGCCACGCCTCGGCTATAATACGGCCCTGGCCGGCTGCGCGCGCATCGCGAGTGTATACCGCGCAACAACAAAAATACATTGTTGGGTGCATTTGACGACGAACAGTCAACGCGCGAGCATACCGTGGAGTTCGGGTCGTTGACGTATACGGAGGAAAGTCAAAAGAGAGAGAGAAAGAGAAGGGAGGCGGGTCAGAGAAGAGTACGAAAAGGAGCAGCCGCAGCGTTTTTCCGCTTCCGCGTGTAGCAGCGAGTAGAGCGTATTCTTATTCTTTCGCGCGCCGACGTCGCGTGTCGTACGATTCAGTGATCCACGAAGCTTACAGTGAGAGTGACGAAAATGGTGTCCGGCGGCATGGCTTGTGTCAAGTACCTGCTGTTCCTCTTCAACCTGATATTCGCGGTGAGTAGACGGCCGAAGAATAACGGTGCACGGCCAGGACGCGATAGGGTACGACGTTCTACGACGCTCCGTTCCGCTATTCTCGGCGTCGCGTCGCCTCGCGTCGCCTCGCGCTGGGCGGGCGCGGGCTTTGTTATATGTCGGTCAAGCCTTCAGGAGCAGCATCTGGGAATCTAATCTCGACACGCTTTGCCCTTCCGATATTGAAGCACAACCAGTCGTCGACCGATCCGCTGTTCGCACGCTGACCAACGATGAATCATTCGACATCGTGAAGTAACTTTCGTTACGGATCTGTTTGGAGCCGCGTTCGGTTTAATTGACATCGGGCATCTCGGATTGGTGGACGGTCTTCACGAATTTAATAATAATTCAAATGAGTTTTACTTTATTTCTTTTATTTGTGTTTGCCGTGGATTCAAGTAGAACGCAAGCCATCGTGACATCCAAAAATGTCAGATAATTCCAAGATGATTACTAAAGGTTACTTTTTAATTAATAGTGATTCATTTTAACGTTCTTTTAACGTTATCGTGATTTGTTTTGCTTAAACAGTGGCAGATGTGTCGGATTCTTAGATTACGACTGCTTCCCTTTTAGGAGACCCTTTTAGGAAATTCAAACGTCGTTCTATCTTTGTTATTGAAAGGTTAAGAAGGACAGAACGACGTTTTGTGTCGGCTCTGTGTCTCCTAAAAAGGAAGCAGCTTACGTGTGTCGAATATGTAATACGTGTAATGAGTATACCAAAGGATAAGATAAGGTCTATTTATTCGCGTTGTTTTCAATTCTAAAAATTGTTTCCTCGAAAGGAAATAAATAGGTACATTCGAGCGTTGAGGAGAGAGAAAGCGAAGATGCTGAGTGCGCAAAAAATATGACGCAAATAGATCTAATGTCATCGCTATCGGTCTCGGCCGTGACAAAGTTTCTTACGATTACGTTAACGCGATGCAATCTTGGGGCGTATTGGATCGATATTACGCAAAGTTCGATGGCGAGAGAACCTCTCCTCAGAATTTCTTTTCCATTCGCGCCGTTCTGCCAGTTTTTAGAAAAGAAATTTTTCTAGTACCCATGGTGGTGTGTACCCCGTCTAATACCAATAATCTATTATCTAATGACAATAATAATCTAATCGATATCGTGTATGGCGTGACCGAAACCGTACCGCGTGTCTGAATAAATGATGTAAGTACGAGGGTATCATTTCGAGGGAAACTTTGTGGTGCTTATGCTCCAGAACCTCGATGTAAGCGTTATGGATGAAGCGATCGATATCCCGCCCCCTCCTTCACTCTCTTCTTTTACGTTTAATGTAATCTAGAGTTCAACATAGTGGTGCGCGCGCGCGCGCGACACCGTTACATATAAAACTTGTAATAAATGGAAAATCGTATTAAAAAATTCAGGGGCAAAGTGCCAGATTATCTACGCAATTAAATTCGATACCCCTTAACTATCCTTTCTAACAAAGTACCTTCTTTCTTTATCTTCGATAATAACATTTTTATCTAATCTTTCTTTGTGTTTAACGATCATATTTTCATCTAATGAAATAAGAAGTAAATCCAATAATAAGATCATATGGACAAATATTATATTTAACTAAAAAATACCGATACTGAAAAGAGTAATTAAAAATTCATTTGGATTGGTGCAACTGTTTTTCGACGCCTTCAATCGCGTTTTGACGGTAAGAAGAAGTTTATTTAAAGGGCAGATACACGATAAAATGACCGAAAGCCACGTTTTTCCCCCGGGAGACTCGCATACATACAATGCTGTCACTGTATTATACGGACGGAAGGATCTAGGACACAAAAACAACTCTGTAAAGGATGACAGGGCGGGGTGTCAGTCGTGCGTCCCTTATTGTAACGTTTAATGATCCGTCCAGCGTGAAATGCCAGCGCGGCGACCGCGTTTATACAGAGCGTACCAGAAGAAGTAGACGAGCTCGACGGGTGGCTTTGTTCCTCGCAATGTTCGATGTCAGTTTCTTCTTCTAACGAGAGATATATCGTCGACGTCATTTCTCAACTTTTCCCGAGTCCGGCTGATCATTGAATCCTAAATGTAAAACTCGGACGGGTGCCGATTATATAAGCTTTTCCTAGAACGGAAACGTGAAAAGCGGAAAATTGTTCTCTATTATCTTTCCAAAATTATAATAAAGTCATTCCGATGTTTTGTTCACTTTTTTAATGTGTTCTTTTTGAGTTGGGCTCGAGATCCAAGTAGAACGTATAAATCATTAAAATGACGTCAAACTGGCTCCAAGTTAATGCAAAATAATTTGTCGTAAAATTCTTTAACACGATTTTAGATCCAGTGAGAAACTAAAGGCAAAACCAATCATATTAAAGAACTTTACAATTGCAAAGTTGCTTTTTCAGCTGAACGTAGTCAATGGTTGTTAAAAGTTATTACTAAACTTTCCAATCAGCAATGATTCACTTTAACGTCCTTTTGGCGTTATTAAGACTTGTCGTTTCGCTTGAAAATGATAGAAATGTTCATTTACCACGTTTTTTCGCTCTGAGGGAAAAATTACTTGACCGCCATTCAGGTAGAATATTATATCCTCTTCGAGCCGAACGACGAAAGAATTAATTTACGAGCAGTTCTCTTTCAATGACATCCTTACTAAAGCGAGGATAGATTTTAAATTTCTCAGGGGAAGACACAAGTGATGTATACGTGTCGTCGTTCGTATTCTACACTTTGCTTTCTAGGACACCCCAGATCGTATGGATCGCTGTGCGTTGGGCGCGTCCTCGTTACTGAAACTTTTCAATAGATTCATAGATAAAGTTCGCCGTAGTAGAGTCACCTGTTAGCGTACGGCGTACGCGTATAGGTCTCGAGACAGGCTGACCAGGTATCGCTCGAGGGCGAGCGAATCGACCGGTCGGTCGAGCTCGGTTTCGTTGCTTCGAAGGCCTACTACGGGCGCGTGTAAATCGTCGGGAACGTAGGTGAGCCGTAGGTGAAAGACACGTAGGTAACCACATAGACAAGGGGGAGAGGTCTATAATCTCCGTCAGGCGGCGACGAACGACGTAGCCTTTCCTACGACGCGATGTCGCAGTCACGCGCGCCTTTTTCTTTCTTTCTCCCCCAGTCATGTAGAATGTCGGCTCCCTTACACTGGAGATGTCTTTATTTAGACAGATCCAGCAACGAGAACGGGTTACGCGCCGCCGACGAATTCTTCTTGATCGTGGGCTTTGGTATAGAGCGATCTAGAGACCTATAAAAACAGCATCCGGCCACGAGCGATTTTATCATAAAATCCTACAAGAAAGAAAGATATATATATATCTTTTTCCTGTGTATACTTATATATTATCTCATTCTAACTTATATTGTCTTATGCTATAATTTTAATTAAAATTTTGCAATGAAACAATATAAGTTGAAGTGAGATAGTAAATAAGGAACATACTAAAGTTAATAAAAAATCAAAATGACATCTAAATGATTTTATTTTGATGCAATAAACAATTAAATTTTATGACAAGAAATCATCATTTTAATGTTAAATTACATCTTGACTTTCTCTTGATTTAATGAGTCTCTTGGGAATATTATACGTACCTTTACTGTTTCATTGTAGAGCTGTAATTAATATTATATTATCTTAATCTGTAATATTAATTAAAGTTATTATTATATGTATATATACAGATAAGAAGTATATGTCTTTCTCTCGTAGGATTTTGAAAAAATTGTCCACGAACTTTATTAAAAGATCTTTAATGGGGGACTTATCTCTCCACTAATGTAGATCAACTTTAATCTCGACTCAACTTACTCGTCATCTTATTCTAATTCTTGAAACTGGAAAATAAAGAGTACATTAAATCGAGATTAAAGTTAATCTATATTGAAACAAGCATAAGCCGATCCTTTCTGGAAAGCACTGACGACGCAAGAAAGCGAAATTTGAAAGTTACCGTGAGTCTACAATGACTCGATAGTCTGTACACGGTGAGTCGGAAGCGAGTTTGAAGAATAATTGGTGAGTCAGGATTGATCAAAATTAATAAATTAGTAGTTGACCAGCAACCAATTTCTAAGATTATAATACCGATTAATTGTAGACTCACTGTTTAATTACGCGTGTTTGCGTCAGCTTGTAATACTTCAAGGATAAACGATTCACATTCGACGAGTTATAGGTATCTTATCTAATATCTATAAAATAAAATATATCGCAGATAAAGAATCATCGAATTTAACCACGCTCGGCTTTGGCGATTTCAGCCTGTACATCAAAAACTTTTATAGATTTACATTAATAGAGATATTCGCGAGTACCTGGAGTTTTTTATGCAATATTCAGATGACAAAGTTACAAACGTTACCTTTCTAATTTTCATCTAACAATGAATTTCTTATAAGTTATGTAATAGTTTCTTAGTAAAGCTACTTTCGTAATTTACTCGCGAGAGTCGTTCTCGCGCAGTTAGATATCTCGTTGAAAGTTACTTGGTGTAATTATAACAGTTTTATGCGTTTCCCTTTAGTAAACAATGCTCTTACGCGATCATGGTTTCCATTTAAAGTTAAGCCGTTAGCACGGAAGAAAAGTATCGAATGTCTGTTCTGATTACTTGAAGTATCGATTGCAACTCATCTCTGAATAGGAAGCATAAAGATGTTTTTTTGGGGCATCAAATTTGACGGGCGCGCTAAGATTTTTGTTAATTACGTATTTACAGAATAATATATAGGCAGAAAGTTTCTCTATAAATATCATATCTTGAAGTTTTAATGTAATAATGACTTTCATTAAAGATTTGATTTTTAGAAGCACGCACTTTGTGAAAGTAAGCGCTTAATATAATTATAAAACAAAAAACATGTAATTTAACCTAAATTCGAAACGCAGATAGAAACTAGATTTGAAATTACAGCAAGTTCTTCGTACTTTTTTAAAAAATAACATCAATCTTCTTTTTTCCGATTTAAATAATATATATAAGTACGAGTTGCAAATTCTTACATTGAAGAAAATACTATAATTTTTATCTTATCGTATCTTATCAATATAATGATAAAACGTGAAACTGTAAAAATATAAAACTGCGTTTAATAATGTAAAAATAGAATTGAGTAAAAGATAAATAACCTAAGCAGAACAACAAGTCATTATAATGTCAAAATGATTCCAAAATGATTTTTAAATTAAGCCATTTTTCAATCATCTCATTCAATCGATTCATTTTAATGTCATTTTGACTTTATTGTGACTTGTTGTTCTGTTTGGGAAATATTCGTATTATATTGTGTAATAAATATGTTACAGTGCGTACAATGCGTCACTAAATGTAACAATGAAAAGATTAACAGTCAACGTATTTTATGTATTATTTCAGATCACCGGCATCGTATTTATTTCAGTGGGCGGTGTGATTCTGGTTGTTTACAGCGGGTACAGCAACTTTGTGGATAGTTGGTTCTTTGCAGCCCCACTCTTAATGATAGTGGTCGGTGTCATAGTCTTCCTTGTATCATTCTTTGGATGCTGCGGCGCTGTAAAAGAGAATCATTGCATGATAATAACGGTATGATTCTTCAAAAACAGTATTATTTAAATACTATTAATTAAAAACTATAGGATTATTTCTTTTTCGTCGTAACGGCAATACGAGATTTTGATTTATCTTTTTAAATAAGTATAATTAAACCAGAAGGCTCTTATTTTATATGACAGTTTGCTAAAACATATTTTCCTGCATAGTACACCTGTGCAATAATTTTTATTTATTGTAGTTCTCGGTTTTGCTGCTGCTGATATTTGCTCTGGAATTGGGCGCTGGAATCACAGGTTATATGATGAGAGGAGAAGTCGCTAATATGTTAGAAAACCGTCTAAATGGTACTTTGCGACAATATGAGCTTAATCCGGATATTCGTCGTTCATGGGACATCATGCAGCACGATGTAAGTTCACTAAATTATTTGTATAAAAAACGTTACAATTATAATTTTTATTTATAGCTGTAAAAAAATATTGGTATTACATATTGTGTAGAGAAAATCCTCACTAGTTGGATAAATATCGTACTAATTTTGTTATGTGCCGTTAATGGAATTTGTAATTAACTGACAATTGAAATACGATTTTAGTTACAATGCTGCGGTATGAATAGCCCTGCAGACTGGCCCCATATTGGTTTCCGTGATAATACTGTTCCCGATTCCTGCTGCAAAGAGATTCCTGCTCAATCGCGTTGCGACTTGAATTCCATTCATGTGTACAGTGACGGCTGCATGATAAAACTGCAATCTGCTATAGAAAATAATGCTATGATCCTGGGAGGAGTGGGCATAGGGGTAGCCCTCATACAAGTAAGTTCTGATTCAAACTATCGTCCTAGCATTATGAAGTATATATTAAATAAAATATTTGTTGATTTAGATATGAGGCACTATTGTATGCATTAATAAAAGGGAAAGATTTGTTATATAAATAACATTAAATACATATAATATTTCAATGTATATACAAATAATAGGAATATTAACGAGCAAAGGATAAATTTACTTACTTTACACTCCCTAAGAAAAATGAAACAATAATTATTCTTTTTTTTTTTCAGTTGATTGGAGTAGTCTTTGCGTGCTGTCTGGCTCGCTCAATTCGCCGCGAGTATGAGACTGTGTAAGCTGATAGACACAAATTTTCATTGCAACAAGCCTAAAATGCACTTGTATAAAACCTGATCTTTTACACAAGCTGTCACTATTTTTTTCCTTATTTCGTTACCATTTAACCATGCACAATTATAAAAAAAAATTTCTTTCTTTTATCGCTTCTATTTTTAACACATTGCAAAGAAACCGTTAATTATTTTCATCAAAGAGTGCGTGATAGGTAAAAACATATTTAAAAAGATCTCCAAAGAATCTCACTGCTATTTTGGTATCTGGGCCTTATCTATCAAACATAAAAATGTCACACACGTATGTTTTGTATATTTTTACAATAGGGTCTCGAACAACTTTGTATATTAATGATAACAGAATATCTGTGTTACGCTCGGAGATCATACATTTTTTTCATAAATATATATATAATTTGTTCAGTGTCATTGTGATACTGTTATAGTTGAGCCACGATAACCATACACATCGATAATAAAGTTATATATAAAATATAAATCACTATATATATATATATATAAATTTAAAATGCGTTAAAAGCTTCTTTTTGTTTGATGTCTGCTTCACGTGAATAATTATTTAGCTTATTAGCAAAAGTGTATTTTTGTCGTTTCCATATATTTTTGCTTCATAATATCTCGCATGATGTAGTGTATATTGATATTGTTGTCGAGGCTCTGCTATAATACTCAGCAGTATCATCTTCAAGTTATAAGAACGTTCATATTTCTTAAGACTTCATTTTTGGATCGATATCATATTCTTATGAGAATATATTT